CTCTTGCAACTTTTTTTCAAAAGAAAACATTTAGCCACTTTACCACTCAAAAAGTGCCTTTCCAAAACTGAAGATTTTAAAGTCTGCTTTCACGAAGCAGTTAGTTCCTCCTGTATCCTGTGGGTCTTTGCAGATAGTTCTGATTTTTCTTCTTTTGTTTTGGCAGAACTCAAGCTCTAATTTTGTGAAAATCAATGCTATACTCCCTGTTTCTAAGACAGGGTAATATAAATGAAACTAATAGGAGATATGGAGATGGATTTGTTTATAATGCCCTTGTCTTGACTTAATTTTGTATACTATTTCTCCAGTTCTTTCCTGCGTGGACTATTTTATCACTCCATATTTATTAATACTTAACACACTAATGTGTTTAGGGAAAAGAAGGAAATGTCTAAGCTTATAATGATGTCCAATTGTATTTTCAATGTGGGCTGACTGGCCTGGAGGAGTGCTTTCATTGGCCCCGTTTCCCTAGGACATCAGAGGAGCAAGTGTTACTTCCAGATCAAGCGAATGGGGTTCTAGAATGACCCATGGCTGCAAGGATACACTGAAAAAAAAATGCAGCTATTATTCAAAAAGGACTCTTTATCCTTCCTAACAAGAGAATTTCTTTCTTTTTGAGAACAATTGGGTATGTAAAATATGTTAATAGTAGTCTAATAAGTCGACTAAAATATATATCTTGGTACAAAATAAAATCATTAAACCTTAATAGAGAAGAAAATATCTGAAGATGTATAAGTAGACAGTAGGTGATCATCAAAGAATTCAGATATTGGACTGGAGTGATAGCACAGCAGGTAGGGCATTTGCCTTGCATGTGGCCGACCCAGGTTCAATTACCAGTACCCCATATGGTCCCCTGAGCACCCCCAGGAGTAATTCCTGAATGTAGAGTCAGGAGTAACCCCTGTGCATCGCTGGGTGTGACCCAAAAAATCAAAAACAAAAACAAAACAAAAACTCAGATCAAGAAGAAAAATAAAAGAAAATGATAAAAATGTAGCACTGCCCTCCCATTGTTCATCGATTTGCTCGAGTGGGTCCAGTAACATCTCCATTGTGAGACTTGTTGTTACTGTGTTTGGCATATTGAATACGCCACGAGTAGCTTGCCAGGCTTTGCTGTGCGAGCGAGATACTCTCGGTAGATTGCCAGGCTCTCCGAGAGGGGCGGAGGAATTGAACCTGGCATGGCCGGGGCCGACTATGTGCAAGGCAAATGCCCTACCGCTGTTCTATCGCTCCAGCCCATTCTAAATTACATTTAAAAAGGAGTCGCAGGATAAAAAATATGCTATCATAAATGTAAATAATATATAAATTTGAATTGGAATCATTCTTCTTTCATGATCACTGAACAAAAGCTGGCAAGGTAAGTGACAAAGGTAAGAGCAGCAACGTAGCGAGGCTTGTTGACTTCCTGGGCTCAATAACAACATTGCACAGCTGTGATGTTGCCACATGGGCCTTCAAAGCTAAAGGCTGTGATAGTGGAAAAAAAACTGCAAAGATAAAGCTATTAATAAACTCTGGGGCTTAATTTGGTAGTGCATATAGTAGAGGGCAAATAATAGAGAGTATTTTCCTGGGACAGAAACGCAGTGAACAAGAACAGGCAGTTAAGAAGTAGAGCTGTGCACTGCTTTTTCCTAGGGAGTGAGCATGAGGCTTCTTGGTGGGATTCTATTCCAATGCTTTCTTCAAACTAAGAACTGTTTATTTGTGTAGTTTTTTTTGTGTGTGTGCAGGAGTGGGGTTAAGCTTCATTTGACAATGCTCAGTGATTATTCCTGGCTCTGTACTCATGAAAGACTCCTAGCAGTGCTCAGGGGATACTGGGGATTGAACCTGGGTCAGCCGTGTGTAGGCAAATGGGCTGCCTGCTCTCCCATCACTCTAGCCCTGGGGTAAGGACTGTTGCACTCACACCTCCCAGCCTCTCTGAGAGGCTCCTTATGTTTCAGACTCTCCACCTCACACACCTGGGCTGAAAGCCCCGTCCCTCAATGTACTTTTCTTCCAGCATCTTCCATCTTAGGATGGAACTTGTTGCACAACTGCCCTCTCTCTGATTCCTTGCTCCCACTGGCCTGGGAACAGTCATCTCTGCCCAAACCCCATGGCCACTATTGTTGGGCATTGTCACCTTTCTCAGAGGCAGCTTCCAGTGACCCCCATGCCTAAAGCATTGTCTCTCTGAGTGTCAGCCTTGGTGTGTCAGACCTCATCACAGTCAGCCCCTCAAAACCTAGACAACTCCCACAGTTTGCAAATGGAGATAGGCATCCTCCCAAGGGTGTCAAGGTCCCTGGGGATCTGGTCCTACCCTCCCTTATTGAATTTTTCTTGTTCCAGAATCAGGGCATGAGACAGACAGGAATTCTTCTGGAGCCCGTTACTGCTCACTCCCCTGCTTCCTGGAACTGGATTCAGGGGAGAGGATCCCAGTGTTACAGTGGAAACGAAGGAGGCAGACACCTCTGTAGAAACCATCTGGGAACGCACATAAAAATTATCAGATTGGTCTTTACCTAAGTGAGCTAATTAAGAACTCTGTGGAAACCATTGAGAGGGTTTTAAGGTCTTGTTAATATTGGGTATAACTAATCAGATAGCGGGGACAGAAATTTGTCAAGTATATAAAAGCACAGGTCATGAGTTGCTGGAAACTATGATCCTGGAAGAGAAAGGAGCAACGATGAGAAGCTGCCGCTGTGGGGATCTCCTGGAGGGCAGCTGCTGAAAGAATTGCTGACAGGGAGGTGCTGAGTTTCCTGTTCTAAATGGAGGTTGTTGCTGGCCTCTTATTGCGGGGAAGGGGACTTGGACCACACTTGTCAATGATCAAGGGTTACCCTTGGCTCCGCACCCAGGAATTACTCTTGGCAGTTCTCAGGGGACGAGGGATCTGTCCCAGGTGAACTGCATGCAAGGGCAAGTGCCCTACCCACTTTACTATCTTTCTAGCCCCACTACTGACCTCCTACAGTATAATCAAGAGCCATAATACCAAACACAGCTATTCTTACCTGGCATCCACAAGAACCCAGAAACTAGCCATCTGCACTGTAACACCAAGAAGACAGGCTGCTGAGTCGAAAGCAGAGGGGATCCATCAGAGGGAAATCAACTTATTAACCTGATTACCAATTACCTAACACCACCTGAAGTGGCCCAGCCCAGAGCCATGCTGGTGTATGCAAGAACCTGAGGCATTGCTCCACGGCTTTATGGGCCAAGACCAACGGGGATAGTGATGTGCAGCCAGGCACAGCCCTGTTCCTTGCCTGAAGGGACTTGTCTTCTCTGGTCCCTGGTTAAAGCGACAGGTAGCTCACTGTATAATGCACACGGGAGAAGGCACCAATGGAAATACAGATCAAATGTGTTTTAAAATTTGGGGTTTAAGGCAACCGAGCTTTGCTAAGTGCCCAAGTCTAGATGGCAGAAGCAGCTGTGGTGAGATCTCTCCATCATATCTGGTCACTTCCCCCTGGACCCACATGGTGGAGTTCACACGGCACTTTCCTGAAAACCTTTGTTCATCTAAATCACCCTCCAAGGTAGGGGTTGGCATAAACTGGGATTTAGCCTCAGGGATTAAATAACTTTCAAGTGAGTGAGTTGGAACCTGAGCTAGTGTTCTCTAACTGAGCATTCTTGCCGTATAAGGGAAACTGTTTTTAATTGTCCTGAAATCACAGACCATCCTTATGTAATTTCTCATCTGTAGGAGTAATGATAAGTTAATTTTTTGGTGGTCTAATGTTCTTGCCAAGTTCAATTACTTCCATGTACCTATACAACATTTTTCTCTTCTGGTAGGTACTGGATTAATTATACAGCTCCTTAATGGGTCCACCACCTCCTCATTTACATAAAATTAATCATGTGAAGGTGAAAATTGATGCATATAAGATAAATCGAAGCTTTCATGAAATCTAGACTACTTTAAGGGTTGAGTCAAAACATTCATATTTAAATATTTTAGTACCAAATTTGATACTTTTCATGTAAGTGGTGTAGAGAGATGAGATATTAACAAGAAAGTATCATCTCTAACAAAGTATTTAGTAAATAGTTTAAAAGAATAAGATATTTTTGCCTTTGGATTATGTTCTATAAAGGAAAACAGATACTTGTTACTTTTACCTTTCCTTCAGTGGCTCATTCTTTTATTTAAAAAAAAAGTTATTAAAGCACCATTATCTACAAACTTATTCATAGTTAAAGGTAAAGGCCCTCCCGTTGTTCATCGATTTGCTCGAGCGGGCCCAGTAATGTCTCCATTGGAGATTTTGTTGTTACTGTGTTTGGCATATCAAATACTCTCGGTAGCTTGCCGGGTTCTCCGAGAGGGGCGGAGGAATCGAACTCAGGTCGGCCATGTTGGCTGCGTGCAAGGCAAACGCCCTACCACTGTGCTAGGCCTTTTCTGTGCCTAGCACAAACCGATGAACAACGGGAGGACAGTGATTGACGGTGATTTATTCATAGTTGATTTTTAGACATACAGTGTTCCAGCACCATTCCCATCACCAGTGTCAACTGACCTCCCCCAGTATTTCCAGTATTTCCAGGTTCCCTCCCCCACTCCATGCCTGCATCTTGGCAGGTACCTTTTAAAGACTGATTGTTAAAACGTGAATATCTCATTTTCCCTGTTGTTGACTCTTCAGTGTGGATACTTAGCTATACTATTCCTTTATCCACTGATGTACCTGCATTCCCTTGACCCCTGCTTCATGTTGCTTCCTTCTGTCTCTTCTCCCTCCTCCTTCAATTTTTTTTCCTTCTCTTCCCTACACTCTGGGGCCAGGATGATCTAGGCACCCTGCCTCCTTTAAACCATTGCATTTAGAATAACCCAGTTATTCTAAATACCACATAACAGGTGAGATCATCCTGTTCTCAGTGGCTCACTTCGATTCAAAGGAATGTCCCTTACCTGAGGAAAGTGAAGCTATCAGTTTGATTCTGAGAAAACTTACCTGTCCAGTCTGGCTTCCTGCGTGGGTGAAAGCGATGATGTGGAGGTGGTGGGCAGAGCAGATCTGGATGGGGGTTTTGAGGAGGAGTAAGAGTTGTTGCCAAAGTTGCTGTATCTAAAAAGCACAGAGATTTATGTTGGAGAAAGAGAAATGAGTACAAGTAGCATTTAGCAAACTACCTTAATTTCTGCAGGAAAAACAGGCCTGGCATCGCTAACTCTGTTATTAAATCTCTTTCGTATCATCCTTAACTCCTTTATTTTTTAGCAGAGAGGTTTCCTAAAGCACCAAACTGCAGAATTAATAACAAAGGATTGAAATAAAACCCTCATGCTTCTTGTCTTTGAGTATATCTGAATATTATTTGCTAACATCAACTCAAGAGCCCAAATACTTTTCTTTGGCATCATGAAGATGTTTCTTGACTCAAATGGAGATATAATTAGTATAATTCTATAGAAGAGCTATGGAAAATACCAGATAATTATCTATAGGAACATATGATTTAAAGTTCTGCTTCAGGTATTTCTAAATCAATTTCATTCACTAATTATAATCTCATCATATGCCTGGAGAGCAAGAAGACACATCACCCCAAGTATTCTAACTAGCCATGTGGTTTAGAGGCAGGTGCATTCCTATCTTCATTCAGCATTTCCCATCAGAACCAAATTACATGCACTACAGGTTAAATAAGCTTTGATAATTGCCTGGTTATATATGACAAGTTTCAGAATTTGTAAAATTTGGAATTTTCCTGTTTTTCAGAATAGATGTCCTTCAACACAACATTTCTCAACTTTTCCCTGTCCACAGTTCCCTTCTGATTTCTTCCCTTCTGAAGCCCTGCTGTCCTACCCATAGCCCCCTAATGTCATGCAGTGGCCCCTATTTACATGATTTCCACCTGCAGCCCCCTTGGACTGTCCATCTGGCCCCTGGTTGAGGATTATTGCTTTAGTGGTCTGTAGGAAGCTCTCATCAATCAGTACATCCCCAGGAAACAAACTATAGGATCTGAAGCCCCACGTGGAATAGTCACCCATGTAGGATCTGAATCTCCTACATGGAACATCACTCATGATAACAAATACCAAGACTCAGAGATTTCTCAACTTACTCAGTCACAGATTGTGGACAATTTCCATAAACTTGTTAGGACACTGCATTTGGGGGTCTGGGACCCCAAGGGATACTATAATACGAAGCAAAGACTTTCCTGCATCCAGAGCATCCAAACACCCATTCACATAAATAGTACAAGTTTTCAAAGTTGTGGATAGGTCCTTGGAAATTGTGATTTTAAGTAAAATGGTGTATAACAATTACCATAGTCTAATTTACATGAACAAAAGTTAATTTCCTATAGAATATTTATAGTCACAAAAATGTTACCAAACCTCAAAACTTAAACCCAAGAGACATCTAAAAATAAAACAACAATTTTATTCATTTTCCAACCTAATCCTTCCAGTGACTGAGCCCATCCTAGTAACTCAGGACACAAGGTAAAATCCGACCTTGGAAAAGATGATCTTGCATTGACATAGAGACACATATCCACATCGGAACAGCTCAGACACACCAGTGAACCTACAAGTCTAAAGTATACATCCTTAGGATGTGGGAGGAAATCTTAGAATCTAGAGAATTTAGAACTCATATACACATGCGAGAACGTGGGAACCTCACAGTTTGTGGTACCAGATAAGAGTCAAGTTTTTTTTCTCATCAACATTCTGGCAAAAAGGGAGACTGAATGAAACGATGCCACTGGACAACTTTGCAGTCTTCACTGTTCTGGGAAATAATTTAAACCAATTTGTGGATATCCTATGACAGAGGATGTCTACTTTTGGAACTTTAACATAAGGTGTGTGTATATATATATATGTATATATATATATATATATACTAAAATCTTCATGCATGGAGATATTCAGCAGAAGGAGAATATAATGAAAAACAGGCAACTATGTAACCAGGTAACAAAGTGAGAATGGCCAATTAGATTATTCATCAATAGAACATCATTAACCATTAAAAATAAGTCAATTTTAAGTGATAACATACATATACATAAATTATACACATATAAACTCACTCAATACATTATGCATTGTAGTATAATATGCAGACAGCAATTGCAATGTGCAGAATATTCTTAAAGAGCAAAAACTATGTACAAAAGACTGCATGATAAGACCATCTATTTTTAAAAGTAGACTATAAAGATAAAATTTCAGTTTCCTATAAGTGTAACAATAAAAGAAACACATAATTTCATATATTTTATTTGCATTTTATAAATATATTTACATTTTATAAATATATAAAACATATGTCACCCTACATCTCTCCTGTGCTACTAATTCTGTTCTCTTTGGCTGATTTGTGTATTTGATATCACATATCTGACCTGTGTTCAGTACCAGGCAGGATCATACCACCAGGCAGGTAGGGACTCAGATCACATAATGTTATCCCCACTTCCTTTGTTAACATCCCACCTTCATAGCACTTGGTTTTGAGGCATTCATTTATTTCATCTTCTCTTAAAAAAATCAATATCTTCAATGTACAACAGGATACTACTACTACTACTACTACTACTACTACTACTACTACTACTGTGAGTGTGTTGGTTTAATTTTTAAGAGGACATCCAAACCACAAGCCACAGAGAAGACAGATCAACAAAGGATGAAAAAGGATGAAGGAGAGAGGGAGGCAAGGGCACCACCAGGATCTCCAAGTCCTCAGAGCCACACTCAGGTTTCAGCCCTGCTTCACCCAGCAGCTAGACACAGCTTGGTTTTCTCTCAAGGCAACTACAACAAAAGTGAATATCCAGTAGAATGTTTTAACAGGATTACTTTACTAAAATTATGTATAAGTGACGTTATGGAAATAAAACCAGCATAATACTTTCCCCCTCCTTTGGTTTTTTTCTAATGGCTAAATAATTCAAATACCTCCCGGTCTGCCCACTTTTGCTTCTCAATTTCAGCCAAACTAACTGGATCATACAATTTACTCGATAGGCTATTCAGGTTTGGAGTAGATTAGCGGGGGAAAGTTTCTTTCTTTGGTTTCCATTGTAGTCACCACTGATCAACTTTGTGCCACATGAACCCACACAAACTACTGAGTGGTTATCTGAAAATTAATAACTATAACCAACATTATATAGCAAATTCCTGCCAGACATATCACTCAAAATTGCAAACTTCTCCATCAAAGCTCTGTCAATCATCACAAAAATCAGGTATTTGTCTTCATTTATGCTAAAATTAATTTCAGCAATGTATATATTTCTGTTGCTCTCCTCTCCCTTTACTACACCAAATGGTCTTCTAAAGACCAAGTGGGAGGCACTCATGTCCAGGCACCCCTTGTCTGAGGCTGTGAGACCATCATATCTCTGGACAGTTCAGAATCACCCTGTGGGGTACCACAACCTACTGGGAGGATGAAGTTGCCAACAAAGTTTATTCCAAGTCAAACACATTTCCTCACTTTCACAGACCCTGCTGTTAGGGAGCATAATGGCTATATTGGATACACTTCACCAATGTGTGAAAGGTCAAAAATCCCAGAATTTTCATCTTGGCAGAGACTGGCAAAGAACTTATTTTGGGGGGAGTTCAGATTGGAGTTCAGGGCTTCCTGGATAAATGCAAAAAGTCATTAAGAATACTAGAGGAAACGAACTTTCAGATCCTCATGTTCCTTATGGGCTCTTTTTTTCAAGTGTTTCTACCCATGACCTCTCCTAGAGTCCCCATGTTTCCTTCCCTGCCATCTCATCCATGACCACATTTCAATTTTAGGAGAAAAAGGACCCTCTCCAGATGGCTGATTCAGTGAGGGGCACTTTCTTCCACAGGAAAATTGTCAGGGTTCTAGGCAAAAGACCAGGATAAGAGAGCATCGCACCGGAGGGAATTCTTTAATAAATACAGAAGGTGGAGAGAGTAAGAGGACTCTTTCCCTTCCCCCGTTGGCCCCTATGTTCAATTTTTGTAAAAGAAATTTTTGTAAAAGTGTCAACATTTAAATAGGCAAATAAGTAATGTCTGTGAAGTTATTCAAACTGCAATTGTTTACAAATCTTCTTGGAGACTCAACCATCTTCAGAAAGAAAAAAATGCATACATTAATGTCCAAACAGAAAACTAGAGGAAAGAGAAAGAAAAGACACCCACCTATTAGAAGAGAAAGACCGGAAGTTGTAGGGCTCGGAAGAATAAGTGCTTGAATGGAGAGAATCAGAGAAACTGTTAAAGAATGAAAATCCCTATTCACAAAGCTGCATGCAGACATGACAAAGTGCTGTGCTGTGTTTTGTGAGTCCAGAAAGACCCCATACCAGATAGATGGGTGCGAGATACATAGATTTTTGACACACCATGATAATTTATTGTTTTGGGGCAATACCTAATGATGCTCAGAGGTTATTCCTGCCTCTGCCCTCAAGAATTACTCCTGGGGGTGCTCAGAGAATCATATGGGATGCCAGAGTATTGAATCGGAATTTGTCACATGCAAAACAAGTACTCAACTTGTGCTATCTCTCCGCTCCCCCCACCATACATTGCTTTTTGGTTGGTTTGTTGATTTGGGGGGTCACCTGTTGGTATTCAGGGCCTCCCCCTGTTTGAGGATCATAAGCAATGTCAGGGATCGAAAAGGATTATGCACATGTTAGCAAGTGCTTTGACTCCTGTAGTATCTCTCCAGCCCTACCATGCATACTTTAAAAATCCTTATACAAAAACAAAACCATTTTTAGTAACTGTATGATAACAAATGAGCCCCTTAATCCAAGCAGATGACAGTTTTCTTCTGCACCTTGTCTAGTACTATTAACTATTTAGTGAGAGGTTAGGAAGTGAATCAACTGCTTCCCATTGTGAATTTACACGCACAAGCCAGGTGTCAAGATCACATGCTGTGTCCCCTTCCCCAGGTTAGCCTCATGCAGTCCTCCATGAGGGTGGCATCTACCTGCTTTCCTTCTGTGCCTCGGCATCCTTTTCCTTGGAGGCGATAGGTGAATCCTCGAAGTCATAGGAGAAGAGGTGGAAGGGACTGTGGGGCACGTAGGGCAGCTTTTCTAGGGGGGGTGATGCCTTCGGAGGGCCAGGAGTAGAGGAGGAGGGTCGAGAGGCTGGGGCAGTTGTGGGAGGTGACAGCAGACTAGGCCCAGAGGCCCCACAGCACAAGGAGCTCCCTGCTGCAGTGCTTGCTGGAGGCTGCCTTCCCTGCAAGCTGGTGTTGGAGGAGGCAGGGAGGGATGAACTTTGGGAAGCAGCATCCTTTTCTGGGGGGCTCTGTTCTGAGGTAGGGCTGGCCTGGCTGTTGACCCAGCCGGGAGGATGGAAAGAGGGATGAAGGGGAAGAAAAGAAATTTGGAGAGAGAGAGAGAAAGAGAGATTAGGAAAGAGACAAAGACCCCAATGAAGCCCTTCTCCAGCTCTACTTTCTTTATCTGCAGCCTCAAAACTTTGGCTTCCCCAACCATCCTAGTGCCCTGTGTTTGCTCATTTAGAAATGGTATTAATCTGCCTCTGGATAACAGAGGCTTTTGAGAAAGGTGGTAAGAGATCCCCAAAGGCTCTCCTCCTGCATCCTCCCTCAGACCATTTCTCCCCTATGACTTTGTCAGCAGCTGAAGGGCCACGATCTCAACTTCATTCTTCTGTCTTATTAATCAGATAAGACAGCATCCGTTCTCCTGAAAAATGTCCAGTTATGAGTAGTGGAATTCCACACTCTCTAGACTTCAGTAGCTGTTTTCAGATCCTTTCTCAAAAGCAGAAATAGGAGAACAGAAGACATTAAGTAAGAAAGGCAAAGAGGTGTGTGAGTGTGTGTGTGTGGGGGGGGGGGTACAATAAAGGCAAGTTTACCCATTTCACATGCACCCTAGGACTCAGTTACAAGGTCCCTGACTTCTTCTGCAGGTAGACCTAAGTCTCCCAATTAAGTAACAGAAATTTCCATCTGCAGAGGACTAGATTTAGATAAACCACTTTGATATTTTTATAAAAAGCTTTCTGACCTCAGCATCTGAATTCTTTGAAATCAAGGTCTCTTCTTTCCCAGAAAATCTGATTTCCAGCCCTGCCCATTTGGGAATGGGATCTGGGCTGTTTCCTACCTCAACTTATGGCTCTCTATGGCTAAGGATACCCTGATTTTCCTGTGTTGATAAGAGATATGATCTAGTTAAGCACAGGCCTGGAACACACATGGACACATGTGACATAAACACATAGTGGTCACACTAAGTGCTCACATATGATGAACCTACCTGGCAGAAACACAAAAAGCAGCAGCCCATAAGAAGGGGATACAGAAAAAGCCTTCAAGGCAACAGAAAAAATGCATAAATTGTCCCTACAACTTTGTGTGTTGTGTAATAAAATAGGTATGATAAGTTTAGGTTTCTGCTTACCAACAGATATTTAAATTAATACATATATAATAAGTACATGTAATTCTTAGGTACAGGTACAGGTTTTAAAGGTCTGATAGGTATAGGTGTAACAGATACAACAGATTTATGTCAGGGAACAAGTAGCTTCTATGGACATTATTAAGATCAAGTACTGGTATTTGCAAGGTACCCTGTTACTTCCTAAAGCTGGAAGGTGACTTATTAGGGATGTCCTCTAGCATCAGCTTCTGTACCAAGATGTTGGCTAAATGAGCATCTCCCTGTGTGAACAGTAATCTCTGAGAGATGCTTTTAAAGGTTTCCCTTTCCAGCCAGATCCTTCCATCTGGTTGTTAAGTGATGAACTGTGTGAGCCAGGAATGGTTGAAGGCTTTGAATGGCTGAACAGAACACACATATATTGCGTTGTGTTTGGAGTCATACTGTGTAGTCATTGAAGGTCTACATAATTTTCCGTGGCTCATCCACTTGCAACCTAATGGGAGAATGTTCACTGAACCTCCTCTTTCCCAGAGTGCTCCAACTGAAAGATCATCCTCCCTGATGCACCATCATGGCACAGGCCAGGGACCCTGTCGGTGTGGAATAGCTCCCCTTCTTCTGAAATGAGCACTGAACACTGATGTCAGATTGTTTTCTTTTTTCCCTTGCCTTGATTATGTCTTCCCAAGCATTTCCAAATGTGGAAAAACATCATTTGTTTGGTCAGCTTAGAGAGGAGTCCATGACTCCTGGGAGCTGATTGCTTGCAGCATGGCAATGGAGCCTATTAAGGGATTTCACTTTTTGCACACCAGTGGCCTGGAGAGTGAGGCCGCAGAAGAAAAAAATCTCCTCGACTAAAGCTGGTAAGTGAAAAAGGTTACGCTATTTTAGCCAAGACTCTTTTGTTTGTAGAAAAATAGTAAAGATACCAATTTGTAGTGATGATCAATGAAATAATTTTAGAAATATTCTTTGAAGATTAGAACATTAATTGGAGTATGCTCAATTTTGATTTCTTATGTATGTAGCATGGTAGCACTATCCTCCCGTTGTTCTTCGATTTGCTCGAGCGGGCACCAGTAACATCTCCCTTGTGAGACTTGTTGTTACTGTTTTTGGCATATATCGAATATGCCACAGGGAGCTTGCCAGACTCTGCCATGTGTGCGGATACTCTCGGTAGCTTACCGGGCTCTTCGAGAGGAGCAGAGGAATTGAACCAGGGTCAGCCACATGCAAGGCAAACACCCTACCTGCTGTGCTATACACTGGGAAAATACAAAAGTTTAAAATATGAAAATATGCAAAGTGCCTGTGCCTGCCAGCATTGGGAGATGCAAACAGAGGATGTGAGGGTGCCAGAACTCTGTTAGTTGCTCTGAAAATAAAAATAAATACCTCAACAAATATTTTTATATTATATAGGGGGTAAAAAATATTCCTATTCACTTGATTAAAAAAAAATTCACAACATGAATCTGGTATTGACTAACCCATTTCAATTAATGCAATCTTGGTAAGATTAATAGAAAAAAAAGGAGCCTGTGAAATCTTTTATACTATAGTGCTGAAAGCATTAACAGTTTCTGGACAGAGATGGTATCTCTTCAGTCACCATCAATCTGACTGAACCAAAGCACTTAATCGTGAAAAGAACAGTGTGATGAGAAGCTGTGGGGTGATGTTTCCTTAAAGCATGGCTAGGTAAACAGTATTTTCCTTAAAAATACATTCTCTACTGCAAAATGCTTCGTTGTTTTTTTAAAGAAAACTAGTCCCTCTGTGGTTTGTATACAGGATCAGTGAAGGTTTGCCAATGGGGAGCCGTGAGGAAGGGAAGCCTCTACTGAGAAGTGGTTTCAAACTATCCTTAGTGTGGAGTCTCTGGCTTTTTGTGTGAGGATCAAGCCCTTGGTACCTGTCTTTGCCCTGACAAGAGGAACTGTCCTCTCTCTCTTCCTCTGAATTGGGCTCCGTGATTGGCTGTTCTTCTTCTTCTTCCTCCTCCTCCTCCTCCTCATCCCTAAAACAAGGCGCCAGGAAAAGAGAAATACACATAGAGACAAGGTAAACAGTGAGATAAGCATTACAGACAAATGGCAAGATGAAGAAAACAAAACCAACGAAAAAGACAGCTGTCCGAAAATGAAGAGTACACTGGATCTATCAGGAGAGAGGAGACAGTTTTGGAGTTTTTTTCCTATTGAGTTTTGAGCCACACCAGTGGTGTTCAGGGCTTACTTCTGGCTCTGCACTCAGGAATCACTTTGTATCCTCCTTGGCTAACAAACTGAAATTCAGGCCAACTGGAACTAAAAATCATGGTGGACGCATGGATTCTGTATGTCTGTCCCTCCGTATCAGTGAATATCTTTCACCTCTCAGAGGCGGGTTTAAAATTGAGGTGGAAACAAATTCTTCTGGGTCTGGGGTTTCTCTTGGTGCCCACAGGGAGGACCAGAGGTAAAGCAGAACTACCTGTAGTTTTCACTGTGAAAAGGCTGCCTGTGAGCAGTTAGCAGATGAAGAGATAGGAAGAGGGAAGAGGGAGGGAGAGAGGAAGGAGAAAGAGGAAAGTGGAGTGGTAAGGGAGGGAGAGGAGCAGTTTTGTGACAATTTTAACACCTTGATTATTTTTCAAAGACCTTTTGAAATTTTTGAAAGTCTACCCTTAGTGGTCTTTCAGTAGTGGAGATAGCAAATCCTTGGAGATAGCAAATTCTCGTTTATCTGCTTTAGGTCATTTAAGTTGTTTTCCCCCTTGCAGCTAAATGAGCAGAGACTTTGGTACCAGAATCATTATCCTCCTTTAGCCTCCAGGTCTGTCCACAGTTGGCGATATCATCATCCTCATCAGACACCTACTCAAGACTCTGTAGGTGTCTCAATCTCTTGCTTCTAAAAACTTGGCCCAAAGGCAACATAATGGGAGAACTGATCCACATACTGAGTTGGGGCTGGAGGGAGGGGTGCTGAGGGTGAGGTTCAAGGGAGGAGTGTTGGAGTCATTGCGGGAGGGAGATGGGTACACTGATGATGGGTGTAGTACTGGAATTATGTGCACAAGAAGCCATTTAGTATTGCAAACCACAGAACCTCAACGAAAAAAAATTTAAATTAAAAATTCCTTGAGTGGCCCTCACCATTTATCACTTCAGTCCACACGCTGTCACGTAGGGCTAATCGGCCGTGAAAATCTCCTCTACCAGTTTTCTACCTGCTTACTAGAGGTCAATTCATCCAAATCTCTGCTTCTCTTCTCCCACCATAGATTTCCTGTAATCTCACAGTGCTTATCCTCTTTTGGTTCTTTCTTGCATCCAATCCTTATGAACCCACCATTTATCTCTCATCTCTCTCTGCTCATACTGATGATTTCTCTTTGCTGCACTATTTCTATTTGCAGCAATAGTTTCCCTTTCCACTAAGTATAAATACAGAAAAATTTCACAAAATAAAATTAATGCTTCATATAACCAGAACTGCTTTAATTCTTCCAACCAATTGCTTCTCTCTTCTAGCTCATGGCAGTGACATAAACCAGCTTGGTCATTTTGGTCCTTGTCTATCTAAAGAATCATACTATGTTTTTTTTTTTTTGTTTAGCATTACGTTTGAAAGAGTAAACTTTAATATGATAGTAATATATACTTGAAGATCATTTCTAATCATTTAGTATTATATGAAAATTACCAAAATTTAATTATCCATTTTACAGTTTGTGATTATTAAAATTTGTAGCTATTTTGACTAGGGCTGTTATAAACATGAAGTACATGTCTTTTGGTGAAGGTATGGACACATGCACAACATACAGTTAGAAATGAGGTTTCTGGGTCACTGATAAGCTTGGATTCATCTTTATTAGAAATTGCTAAACAGTATTTTAAAATTATTTGATCAATTTAAATAATTTATTAGAATACTCAAGTAGTTTATAAGCATGTAGTTGCTCCACATACTTGCCAATTTGGTCCTTTTTTGGTCAATTTTATTTTAACTACCCTACCTATGTGTAGTGATATTTTATTGTGGTTTTGTTTTCACTGATGAACAATTAAGTTAGCCATATTGTCATGCTTTTATCATACACTTATGTATCCTCCTTTTGAAGTACATAAGATTTCTGTCTATTTTTCATCAACTAGCCTACATTTTTTTGATGCGCAGTTATTTTTATAATTTAAATATATGCCATTGGTCCAATATGTGTATTATAATTATTTCTCCCTCTTTAAGATGTCTTTTTAGCCAATTCATGTTTTTTTAAATGAATAGATATTATTAGAGGATCTATTTATCTTTTCTTTCATGGGTTTTACACTTGAGTTGTATTTTTTTTTTAATATGGGGCTGGAGATATAGAACAAGGGTTAATGCACTTGCCTTGCATGCAACCAACCCTGGTCTGATCCCCAGCACTGCACACAATCCCCCGAGCACCACCAGGGGTCACTCCTGAGTACAGAGCCAGAAATAGCCCTGAGCAGTTATTTTAAAATAATATTGTTTTTTGTATATAGCCAGTTCTTCTGTATTTTATGATTGCATTGAAAACACAACTCTTGAAGTGAATAAAACACACGATCCTGGTAAATAAACTATGAAGGTGCATTTTACCATTATCAGATAAACAGAAGTCCACATAGAGATCCGTTTTCTATGTGCTTGAAAAAGGTAAAAGGTAAAGGCCCTCCCGTTGATCGTCGATTTGCTCGAGCGGGCCCAGTAACGTCTCCATTGGAGACTTTGTTGTTACTGTGTCTGGCATATCGAATACTCTCGGTAGCTTGCCAGGCTCTCCGAGAGGGGCGGAGGAATCGAACTCGGGTCGGCCATGTTGGCCGCTTGTAAGGCGAATGCCCTACCCGCTGTGCTATCGCTCCAGCCCCGTGCTTGAAAAAATCAAGTCTAATTTTTTTGAGTCACCATTATAAACAGTTATAAAGCTGTTAATAATTACTATTTCAGTTATTCTGAATTCACTATTTCAGATCACTATAACAGTTATACACAGTTATAAAGCTGTTCATGATCGCTATTTCAGTCCTACAATGTTTCAACACCCATTCTTCCATCAGTGTTTATATCCCACCACCAAAAACCTCACTTTCCCTCCCACTATCTTCCTCTCCTTCAGCCTGCCTCTACGGTGGGCACTTCTCTTCCTCCCACCTCTCTCGCTCTCTCTTTCTCTCTCTTGCTCTCCTTTTTGGTATTGCGATTTGCAATACAGATACTGAGGGGTTATTATGTTTGTTCCATTACCTACTTTTATCACGTAGTTCTTATCCAGAGTGATTGTTTCCAACTATCTTTGTCATAGTTGTCCCTTCTCTGTCCCAACTGCCTTTTCCCTAAGCACTTGGTTCATGGAGGAAAATGTGACATTGAAGCAAAAGGCATCTTCAAAGATGAAACACAACTCACAAAACAAGTGGAAACAAAGATAAGCAAATGGGACTACATTAAACTAAGAAGGTTCTGCATAGCAAATGAAACAGTGACCAAGATACAAAGACAGCCCACTGATTGGGAAAAAATATTTACCCAATGCCCATCTGATAAGGGGTTATTATCCAAGATATATAAGGCACTGGTAGAACTTTACAAGAAAAAAATCCAATAACATCCAAAAAATGGAGAGAAGAAATCAAGTCTAATATTTATAGCCACCAAAGAGAACACATATCCACTGGTTCTCAGCTATTGCTGAACGGAACATGCAATTCTATACCCACTTTGGCAAAATAACTGGTGCTTTCTGATAAAGTTAAATATTCAAATCCAAGCACCGAAATGCCACTGCTCAATGCATTTCTATTCTCTGGAGCAGTGGTTTGCAACAAGGGTGATTCCTATCACTCCAAGAGACATATGCTGGCATAGAAAGACATTTCAGTTGTCACAACAGTTAACTAGTGGTACAGATGGAAATGCTGCTAATATTCCATAATTCATAGGGCAGCTCTCCACAAGATATTGGGTCTAAATTCTCATGGTACCAATACGGAGATACCTTCTCCAGAGATACTGAGGCACACATGCATCACGATATGAATCTGATAGTAATCCTAGCAGTAATGTTTATGCCTGTACACAACCTAAATGCTCAACAACAGAAAAAAAAAGAAAGGATAAACAGGTCGTAGTTAATTCTCAGCAGTAAAAGTGAAAGACTTTCAGCTTCACATGCCAATATGGATGAATTAAACGTATAATACGGAGGGAAGGCATGCAAGAAGGAGGAGGAACATTGACTAACATATACTTTTTATAAAGTTCAAAAGGGCAAAATTATATCACATGTTATATTTAGTTATGTATATATGACTACTGCTAAAAATACACCCTAAGAAAGTTATGAACATATAGCTTGAAATATTCATTATCTACTACCAGGAACATTGGAAGCACACAGATAAATATAAAGTTAGGACTGATGCTCCCTTTTTAGCTTGGCTATAGTCCCAATGGTTGTTCTTAAACTAATCCCTATGTTTGTTCTTAATACTACTAAGCAAGTTTTACAGAAAAATAGGAGAGTGTGACACATGGATCAATATCATAACCATAAACTAGGATGATGATTGATCCAATTCTCTATAAGCAGGATGTTTAAAATATATTTAAAGAAGATTTTATTTTGAAATATTCATTACATTTATGAATAATATATAGCTTTATGTTATAATGATAAAAATAAAATTTTCAAATAGAGCAGTTTTAGGTTCATAGCAAAATTGAACAGAAGGTAGAGAGATTTCCTACACATAACAATAGGTTTTATTTTTTTAAGTAAAACTAACCAGGGGGCAAGAGTTTTCCCTCTATTACACATTTATTGAGCACTTTTTATGTGCAATACACTGGGCTGTAACATTTCAAAGGCATTCTTATCCTTGGAGTGTACAGGTCCATGGGGGGAAGATTTTAAATAACTAATTATACTAGGAAATATTCAAAGGTAGAGAGCCCGGCAAGCTACCGAGAGTATTCGATATGCCAGACACAGTAACAACA